CTACAGTCAACAAGTATGTATTTACACCCTTTGCTAATGGTAGATGTCAAAGTCTACAACAGTCAACAAGAATGGGTTTACACCCTTTTCTAGTGGTGGATGCCAAGGTCTACTACAGTCAATAAGTATGTATTTACACCCTTTGCTAATGTTGATGTCAAAGTCTACTACAGTCAACAAGAATGGGTTTACACCCTTCGCTAATGATGGATGTCAAAGTCTACTACAGTCAACAAAAATGGGTTTACAACCTTTGCTATGAGTATAATCTCAAGAATGGGTTTCTTTACTGACTTTGACATCCACCATTAGCAAAGGGAGTAAACATATACTTGTTGACTGTAATAATGTGTTTATTACACCCTTTGCGAATGATTGATGTCAAAGTCTACTAAAGTCAACGAAAATGAGTTTACACCCTTTACAAATGGTAGATCATTCTTGAAAATGTTTATTATTGTTTGAGAGCTGACTCTTTCACTTATATCTGCACAATGAATATATTTTCAGTTGTGATTGAAATATGAATAGTAAGTTTCAATCAACATAGTATTTTCAATTTGTTCATTTTCTCATTTCAATTGTGTTTCATAGGCAAAGCTAAGCTATTAAAAAGCTGAGACATCTATTAATGTATAGTATTTCTGTAAAAAGTGTATGTATATAGAATATTAACTGTACTATACAGATAATGTTACATGTCTATATATGAATTGTGATTGATTAAGAAAAAGAAAGAAAAAGAAACTTATTTTTCCTGGAAAATATGGATCTAAATTACTATTTTATCAAAGAGTTTTTTTCTTTTTTAATTTGCCGATCCTTATATCTTCGCAACTTGATGGTTTAATCCTTTCATATTTTTAACTTTGATTGGTTGATCAAGTAGATCTCAAATTTCAAAGTATTTATAGCTTATGTCATCATATTTTGAAGTTTACATAGTTTCAGAGTAGAAGTAAATATTTCCATTTACTGATAGCGCGGATTAAAGGATATTCATAACTCTAATTGGATAATGAGATAGTTAGAAAGATAGATGTTACCGCCATACTATTTCTTGGTTCAGAATAGACAACAAACGCATGACTGAACCCAGATTGGATCAGGCGCTAATGGAATCGGCATCCAGGAGTGAGTTGTAAGGATTAGAAAACAAGAGTTTGAGGAGAGTTATCAGTTCCTGACTTTTTGCAGAATTTGAATTTCTTATGTTTGTAAGGTTCAAATGAAAATATTTGCCTATTTTTTTTTGCAGTAAATATAGTATGTTTTTCCTATTTTTGCAAAACGTCTTTAAAGAAATGGCGCCATTAGTTGTATAATCAAGGATAGCAAAGATAAAAACTCCAGGTTGGAAGGAATAGTGAAACATCAACTTGAACATAAAAGTGAACAGCCCCCTAGTTTGTTAGTGCACGTACGCATTTTTATTAGATAAACTAATTTGGGAACCCAGCGTTGCCTGCAGTTTTCCCCATTAAGGGTCAACCTACTTAACTAAGACTTTTTAAACCAGGATAAAACATTCTCGTGGTTCTAACGAGTTTCTCAATCAAATATTGAGGTAAATCAAAACTCTGTAATAGGAAATCGACTTTTAAACTCAAATTTTGACTTTCAATAGTCCAATGAACATTAGGCACAGAAATTGTGCAGTGTGAACAGACCCGACCTATTTTACTTATAAGTGATTAAATAACTTACAAGTAAATCTATTTTCAGTTTTCATTAAGAACCAATTAGTAAATATTAGTAAATGAAACCTTTGTGTTACTTTTATCTTTTAATCCTCATATCCTCTTACTCTCTCCTTTAATACATTAATCTGGTAGAAAGGACATGAGAGTTGTTTTAGTTTAATAAAGCAAAATCTTGTGATCTAGATATATTGCTTTTAATCGTCTTGGTGTTTGTTTGTCCGATCGTCGTTATTTTACAGGACATACATATCTAACTTTCAGAAAAATGTTTTTTTTTGCGAATTTGCCAATTAAAGGAAAACATGATGGCACGGAAGATCTATAACTACATATAACTAAGAGAAGAAGTGCAAAGCGCCCCAGTATATTACAAGATGAAGATTTGTTTCCTCTTTTAAAGAATATGTTCTCAAGTTTTAATATGCTAGCGGGGTTTATAAATGATGCAACTTGTAATATATTGAAAAATATAAAGTTTATTGGAAATCTGTCAATGGAATCAATATTCATAATAAATCTTGTTTTTTATAAAAATATTTTTACTGAAAAGAAAACAATATGGACAGTAATTAGGAGTGTGGGAAGGTTGAAAATTTATATTGAAGATGATCTTTGTAAAATGTTTTCAATGATCAAAAAAGCTCTTCAGGTTCTGGGTCGGAGATATTTTTCAAAAAAGTAAGTTTATGGACTTAATACTTACTTCAATGGCACTATAGTTTCAGTAGAAGTAAATATTTCCATTTACTGTTATAGAGCTGATATAAGGATTTATCTCTAATTGGATAATGAGCTTGATAGAAAGATAAATGTTACCACCATGCAATTTCTATTGGTTCAGAATAGACACCAAACATATGGCTGAACCCTGATTGGATCAGGTGCTAATGGACTCGGCATACTAGAGTGATGGCCTAAATATCTAAGCAAAAATGTTATAAAAAGGCCATACATAACTGAAGTGCCTGGTGTCGACCGTTGAACTTTGAAAAAGTGATGAATTAAGATAAAATAGATTTTTGAATTACAAAATTTTATATTTTAAACTACAAAATACGATTTTTGAAAAAATAAATTCGGCTAATTTAGTAGAGTCGTTTGGTCAGCTATGGCTAACATATATACATGAGCGAAGAGCTAATTATATATACAGAATATTCATAAATCTTAAAAATCAATCAGGAATACGCAAAAAAACTTCTTTTAAAACTGAAGCTTTGTAATATAAAAACGCTTTGTATCTTTGAAATCTTTACGTTTGAAATCTTTCAAAATATAAGTGTGTTAGTATTGGTAAAAGCAAAGTAATTGCAACACTAGAGTTAATTTAATTTGGCCCGGTCTGAAAAGTTGATGCACAATTATTATTTATCTAATACTTTTTTACATTTTTGGAAGGTGAGAATTTGCCCCAGAGGTGCAACCAGCGAATTTTCTAAAAGAGACCCCCCTCTGAGTCCTTTAACAGAAAACAAAAAATTGATAATGTGACTAGATGGACATATTAAGGTTTGTACCTTTGGGAAATATTCTTTTTCTTTATCATAAAGTCTTTCTGACCCTGTCGTATAATCTAAATTGTATTTTCCAAAGATTTTCAAAAAAAAAGATGAATTAATGATAAATGTACAATCTCAAAATGTACGTAATTGACTTTTATTTTATAAAATTGTTTGCTGTTATACACCATGTACATTATACATATACAACATTTTTGGGTTGATTGTACAAAAACATGTAGAGACTAAACTTCATTACCAGTGAAAGGTAAAGTTCAATACGTAGAGAAAGCTAAACCAGTTCTTAAACACTCAACAGTAGTTCAGCTTAGTCCACGCAGTTTAACTAAATCTTACTATTCATTAAATTCGATCCCAGCACAATAACAAGTATGTTTAACTTGTATTTTAAGTTTTGAAAACCTTGAAAACTCAATTCATCATATATTATTTTCAATTTAAAAGTTGTATTAAAGAAAATACTCAAGGAGAGAGAGGATTGCCGTCAGAAGAATAACCATAATGCCATCAGATCTTGATAATTTTTGAAACTTAAATTTTAAAACATCCAAATGTCCCTGCAACCTGATGGTGTTGACCTTTAATATTTCATACATAGGTTATTTGATCAAACGTTATTAAAATTTCTACTGCATTGGGTTGCAAAGATATAAAAATTGGAAATCTGATGTGACAAACCTCAATATCAAATATATATGTACTGTACTGTAGACCATAGTGTTTTCAAAGTTTTATAAACGTAGTATAAAAACTTTAGGCAAAACTTTACCGTCAATTTACCATCAATTCTGCTTCTAAAATATTGAAATCAATCTAAAACTCTTGGTTTTAGAATTGTTGGCGAAAAGATCATTTATAGGAAATTTCTCTGCATTCTTTCTAGATCTTTATTATTATCATCATAACTCATTCTCTTCTTCATATTCTTAGAAATATCTGCAGGGTCTCTGTATGATTACAATGATTACAATGATTGCACTCGTATCAAATATTAGAAAAAAACTCTATTCACAAATTAATAAAAATAACTCATTAATTTTGAAAATACAAAAAAATATTTTTAAATATTAATGGTTGGTTTCAAGGAAACCCTGTTTGTAAAACCTAGTATCATTAAAGTTCCTCTCAGTTTTCTGATTTAAAAATTTACAGATTCACGGTAAACTATAGGTCCTGGTTAAAATACAGTGAGTCTTAACTTTTCACTCATAAAATACAGATTTTTCATATTTGCTTTTTTATACTTTTGATTTGGACTATGAAATTGAATTACTTATGTACATAATTGGTATCTTACGGTATTTTAGACGGATTTTAGATAAGAGATATAACGTGGCTGTAAATATTACGATACTAACAGGATAGTTTAACGTGAATCCAGAGCTGTAAATCTCTCCCTAAACGTTTCTAAGAAGTTGTATGAGTAATGTAACCTTGAGTAGGACTGACACAAAAAGAATTGAGATTCCTATATTACAATCACTCAGCTTTCTGAGCTCCATCTTTACCCTGCATTAGTCTGCAGGGTGTCTTAAAAAATCGTCATATTCGTCTCAAAAAAATTTATTCGTGTTTAAATATATTCTCTGCAAATCTTTTTTTAAAAAAGAGAAAAAAATATTTTTTGACGACTTTCTGGCCAGTACCTAATGTATAAAGTATATTTAGAAAGGCGCCTACATGCTTATTCAGATATCATGGTATGGAATATATCTAACCCCATCAAGATCGATTATATGAATATTACTATAATGTACATACAAAAATGTATACATAGTTGAGTATATAAAAATATATTTGTACATTTCTAAACACAAATATTATGAAAGTTAAATTACAATTATACATATAAAAGTGGAAATAATGAACAAATACAAAAGTGTATACAGAGTACGAATTTAATGAATTTGAAACATCTTGAAAAATAATATACAATTTTAAGTGGAACCAACCATATTTGAGCCGCGTCTCAAAGTCAAGCCGCGGCTTAAATTCTTTAAATTCGGCCTCAGTTTACACAAAATAATGTATGAATAGAAAATGTGAGCAGTTATAGCAACAATTAAAAGTTTAAACATTTATACTGAAAGGAGATTACAAATTTGATCTAGTAAATTGAATTTAAATGTCTAGAATATCTGAGTAATTATCCAGCTGTAAAGGAAGGGAAAATATAATTTCATGTGAACCTCCATTTAAAAATGTCTTGAAAGTTATTCATGAAGAAGCGACAAGAAAAGAAACTGGCAGAATACTTCTCACTTTTACACTTTTAAAGGGTATTGATGGGAATCAGGCATTGCACACTATACATTTCTAGTTTCTACCAGTTAAAATCGGACTTTCTCGTAAGTATTTCTGATTTAAAACGGCAGTTAATCTTCCTTGTGAAATGATTTATTACTCTGTAAGGAAGTTGAGCCCAAATAGATTGACGATCTATTTGGTTCAGCCTACACGTTTACATACAGTACACGAAATACCACATGAAGTACGGTGGTTAACATTCTTCTAAAGGGAGTACAGAGATGTATTAAAGGCTAAATACGCGATATTTCTACAACAGGTTCCTTGTGTACAACGGGAGTTTCTGTTAATTAGAGAAAAAAAAAATCAAGTGAAGTCCCGGTCCAAACTTCAAGTGCTCCCAGTCTCATTTCACAATGCTAGTTTTGATTAAGATTATCAATTTGAAATAACAAAACATCCTCAAAAATTAATTCAAGAAACAACAATAATATTCAATTTAGATAACAACCATAATCAACAAAACAGTTTTTAAATCAGAAAGTTTAAAATCTAACTTCTTTTGTTAACTTTGGTGAGATTTGTTTTTGTTGGAAAGTACATTTTATCCAGTTTACAGTATACTCTGGTTTACTCAATGTCTACTGAATATTTAAAGAGAGAGCCATTAGTTTCCAGCATCACAGTTTCTCATCTCTCAAACTTCCTTCTTAGTAAAATTGGGAAATTACAGTGATATCCAGAGAACTCTGGAATAGGAGGTCAACTTTGAAACTCTCAAGATATTACTTTAAATAGTCCAATGAACATTTGGCGCTTCAATTGTGCAGTATAAATAGGCCCATTTCACTTAATAAGTGATTTGATAACTATTTTATTGAAGCTTTTTGTTTTGTTACAACATCAAATGCACTTTAGTATTGCTTTAATGTCGTCTTCTTATTATATACTTTTCTGGTTATCGCTGAATTTTTGATAAAATGCACCGAGAGTCCGAGACTGCTAGACACTGCTCACTGCTCAGCCGTGGATTTTATACAGTTTAATTAGGAACCGAAGCGATAAGGAAAATAAATATTTTCGCATCTCTCGCGAAAATAAAATTTTCGCGTTTTTTCGCCTTTTTGCTTTTTTCACAAGAGAAATTTTTAATATGAAATATAAACTTCAAATATTGAGCTGTCAGAGCAGAGAATTTCACAATTTTTTTTTGCACAATTAATTGTAGCAGATACAACACGGGGAATTTTTTTATTCACAAAAATTTCGCATTTCGTATTTTCGCGAAAAAAATCTCGCGAAATTTTTTTGTTGTGAAAATTTCGCATTTTTTCGCTTCATTAATTTTCGAGAAAAAAGGCTAAATTTCGCGGAAAAGTTTGCAAAATGCGAACGAAAATGTTATCTTTTTTCGCGAAACGTTTCGTTCGCTGCAAACCTTAAGTTTAACCCAGAAGTGCATTAGCAATTATACAACGTAAAAACATCTTAATGGTATTAAATGAATGTCTTATTCTTTAATGAGACCGAAAAACTTTGGATTAGGAAGACGATATTTTTGCTACAAAACCAGTGCGGTAACTAGAGGTAATGAGGAAAGTCCCCCCCCCCACCGTTGACATTTTTTATTATGCAGTATTCCTGAAGGAACCACTAAACAGGATATTGTGGGTGACTTAAATGAAGCTGATATTAAGAGAACCGTTGGCGATATTGTGCAGATACCAAAACCAAATGAAACATCCCATGTTGTTAGCTTAAAAATCTCAGTTCCAGCGCAAGATTTTCAGAAAGCCTTGGATCCCACTGTATGGCCCTTGTGAGTTCGTGTCTTTGAATTTATCGATTATCTGAAGCGGTATTCTGATAGAAATGGAACTGCAAGTGAGGAGTAGAATAGTGCTACTGGTGGTGCAACAGCAGTACAATGATGGATACAGCCTAGTAGTTTGTGCTTAAATATCTACAATAGTGGGGGTATTGGAATTGATCAACAGAACTTTCAAAATCTATGAAAATCTTTACTCTCAGCATAATCTAGGAGAAGATTTTGATAAAGTGCAGCTAAATATACAAGAAAGAGTCATGGGTTACATGATGATATAGATAAAGTTAATCACCTGTCAGTCAAAGCTACAACTACTACTCGAAGGAACACATTTATTCTCCTCTGTTTATTTATATGCTGAAATATAAGACATATTACAATGATATATAAATAAAACATATAATAGTCAGAAATAACAAAAATAACAAAAATGTCATAACAATACGTTCAGTGAAGCTCTGATAGTTCCTCTGTTGTAGGCTATACTGGCTGTTATTCAAACCAAATGTACATAGAAAGATAGTCTGAGCTCAAACTAATTTTTATCAACACAAAATTGGTTTGAGTATAGCAAGTTATATACGAAGGAAGAAAGGGTGGAGGGGGGGGGGTATCAGTGCACTAGAACTGCAGTACGATTAAAGATATCACAATTCTAGAGATGAAACTTCTAATCCTTTATCTGGTTCGGAAACATCTCCAAATACGCGTCACACCTTTACCAAGAATTTTACTTATAACAATCCAGATGTTATTTTAAATCTGTACAATATTCACTGCTGCAGTTTTTATGGATCTAGTATTTGGGATTTGTTTCTAAATTGTATACAGCATGGAATAGTGCTTAGAATTCTTTTTAACGTGCCTAGAGATACGCACAGGTATTTGATTGAAAGTAGTTCACAATGTTTACATGTAAAAACTATGTTAGCCAGTAGATGTGTGTTTTTCTATGAGACTATAGAAGCAAGTCTTAAGTTTTACATTAGATTTCTTTCTAATTTATGTAAAAACACGGTTCTTGGCAGAAATTTATTTTCTTTTGCAAATGATTGTTTTGTAAATCTATCTGAACTTAGTAAATTGTTAGTTAAGTTAAGAAGCACCTGAAATTGGAAAGTTATGATTTTTTAAGAATCATTAAATACAAGAATGAATAACGTTGTAAAATATGTTGAAGGATTCGATGATTTGATAATAATTGAAATAATAAATATGTTATGTAATGAGTAATGATCAATGTCGCCTATTTGCGCATAATTTTGCATATTTGTTTTTCTTTTGTAAAACTATATTCAAAATTTTAAAACAAATTTAGACTATGCATTTTATATATATAAATATATATATCTTTATATTTATATATATTTATATCTTTTAATATATGTATATCTTTTGTGTGAATAAATCTGTATAATAATATAATAATTATAATTATATAATTATAATAATAATACAAGTATTTGATGCTGTTTTTAAGCAATAAGTATCACCAGTTGTTTGAAATTCAATAAAAAACGGGCCTGATTCAACTGCACATAATTGCAGTTTTACTGTAGTCATCGTCCTATTCTACAGTTTTATAGGTCTCACTGTATATAATACAACATTCTCAGCTCAATTACCCTAACTGGCCTGTCACTACCTTGAAATGAAGAATTAGAGAAGAACAATGAACCTAGAATATTTTAAGAAGAAGAACAATGAACCTAGAATATTTTTAATAAGAAGAACCATGAAAATACAGTTAAAGCGATATTTTGTTAATTAAAGAATATTGAGGAATACAGTTCCAGATAGGCATTGGAAAATAGGGTTGTTTAAAGATTATATTTGGAGGAAAGGGGTGTTCAAAGATTAATAATGGAGACTAGATTATGTTTGGAGAATAGGGTTGTTTAAAGATTATTATTGGAGAATATGGTTGCTTAAAGATTATTATTTTAGAATAGGGTTGTTTTAAGATTACTATTTGAGAATAGGGTTGTTTTAAGATTATTATTTTAGAATAGGGTTGTTTTAAGATTATTATTTGAGAATAGGGTTGTTTTAAGATTATTATTGGAGAATAGGGTTGTTTTAAGATTATTATTGGAGAATAGGGTTGTTTTAAGATTATTATTGGAGAAGAAAGGGGTGTTCAAAGATTAATAATGGAGACTAGATTATGTTTGGAGAATAGGGTTGTTTTAAGATTATTATTGGAGAATAGGGTTGTTTTAAGATTATTATTGGAGAATAGGGTTGTTTTAAGATTATTATTGGAGAATTGGGTTGTTTTAAGATTATTATTAAAAAATCCAGCATATTAAAAAACCAAAGAAAACCAGATTACTATTGTTTCAAACCAAACCAATGTTCAAATTTCAAAATTGTAAAAGCCTAAAGCCACTGTGATTCAAATTTGGATTCAGTTTTCCAAATTATATCTATGTATATTTGTATGTTTACAAAACTACTATTTTGTGATGTAGAATAATACCAAACTCTCAAACTACAAAATTCACAGCAAGAGTTCCTAAATAACTCTATTTTTGTCATCTAGAGAGAGGACTTTTTCAATTTAAAAACTCAGGAAAAAATTAATTAAAATATCAAGATTAGTTTTTCATATTCGGATTTAGATAGTTACTAAATGTAAAATCTAAGAGACCATAATATTTATACATATTTAAAGTATTTTAAATAAAAGCTAAATTTTAAATAGCTTATATGTACAAGGTGTCCCAAAAAACTTTGCAGTAGCGGTGTTGGGTGTTGAGGGAACAATTTTTTCAACTTTCACAATCAAGGTGTCATTGGAAAGCTCTATATTTCCGTTATCTCAAGGTATAAATTTTTTCTTGCTAGATCTCGTACTTTTTTTTGTTACAACGACTTATTTGATTATTGTTAAAAATCTAAAGATTTAAACAACTTATAAGATGGTTCAGATCAAATACTTTTATGAATAAGCAAGCTGTGAAATGTACAAATATATTTTCAAAAAAGAAATATTTTTAGATAAATTTTGTCGACTGGGCAAAGTTCTTACTGACAAAGGAGAAACCGCAGCTTTATTTATTATTTTTTTATTGCAATTTAATTTTTTACTGAAAAAAAAATTAAATTACTATTCGGTCCAGGGGGTCATGAGCTATGATCAGTATACAAAACAAACAGACGTAGAAACAGATATTACTACTTTATATATATAGAAGCAGAGCGTCTGAATATGTGTCAATACAAATAAAACCTAAGTGAGATTATACTAAAAATTAAAAATGTTGTAATTACCTCTCCCCCCCCCTTGGTTAACATTTGGTACTTGGCATATCTCCCCCCTCCCTTGGTTAACATTTGGTAGATGGCATGTCTCCCCCCCCATTGGTTAACATGTGGTTGGTGGCATATCCCCCCCCCTGTTAATATGTGGTAGGTGGCATATCTCCTCCCCCCTTTGGTTCACATGTGGTAGGTGTCATATTCATTTTTTCCTTGTAGAGAGAAGAATGAAAATAGTGACACAGAATGGAAAAATAAGAGGAAGGAAGGGAAAGAAGAGAAAGAAAAAGAAAAATAAGAGAAGGAAGGAGAAAAAAAGAGAAAGAAGAAGAAAAAGAATAAGAAGGAAGGAGAAAAGAAGAGAAAGAAGAAGAAAAAGAAGAAAAAGGAAGGAGATAAAAACAGAAAATAAGAAGAAAAAGAAGAAGAATGAAGGAGAAAAGAAGATAAAGAAGAAGAAAAAGAAGAAGAAGGAAGGAGAAAAGAAAAGAAAGAAGAAGAAAAATAAGAAGATGGTAGGAAGGAGAAAAGAAGAGAAAGAAGAAGAAAAATAAGAAGATGGTAGGAAGGAGAAAAGAAGAGAAAAAAGAAGAAAAATAAGAAAATGGTAGGAAGGAGGAAAGAAAAGAAAGAAGAAGAAAAATAAGAAGATGGTAGGAAGGAGAAAAGAAGAGAAAGAAGAAGAAAAATAAGAAGATGGTAAGAAGGAGAAAAGAAAAGAGGAAAACGCGCAGAGAGACAAATGAAGTGAAATAAATAATATTTTGTCCCTTTCTTTCTATTTTTGTATATTTGGTTGATTATCCTGGGTTCAAATATTGTATTCAGAGTTTTCTAAAATTATTCCTTATTTTCCTCTACAGGAGATATGACAACAAATATCTACATCAAAAATATCTGTGGGCTAAAAATTTTGTGATGTAATTGTGTAATGTGTAATGTGTAAGCTATTTTTCAAAATTTAAAACTTAGAATCATGATAACAAACTTATTTGATATCTTTTAACTTTGTCTTATTAATCAAGCTTTCTCGATATATTACAATTTGTTTTCATTTGATTGTCTTTAAGTAAGTTTATGTTGATCGATTAAAATGTTTTCCAAAACACAGAAGATGTGTGTTCTTCAATCTAAATTCAATTTGCTTTATTGTACAATTGGTAAATAAAAGAAAATGATCTTGTACTTCTAGCAATCCATAATGTTTACAGTGAACGTATACGTATATTGGTATAAATGATGCCTAATAGGTCTACTACTTTACTTCTTTACTACTTTACTACTTTATGCAAGTGGTTCAGATACACTGGAATATTTATAAACCATATAGCTAGGGAATACAAATATAAATAGAGTTTCACAGGAGATATACAAAAGCAGAGTTACATAGAGGATACACAAATACAGAGTTACAAATAGGATACACAAATACAGAGTTACATAGAGAATACACAAATACAGAGTTACAAAGAGGATACACAAATATAGAGTTACACAGGAGATATGCAAAAACAGAGTTACAAAGAGGATACACAAATACAGAGTTACAAAGAGGATACACAAATACAGAGTTACAAAGAGGATACACAAATATAGAGTTACACAGGAGATTCACAAAAACAGAGTTACATAGAGGATAAACAAAAATAGATTTACACAGGAGATACACAAATACAGAATTACTTAGAGAATACACAAACACAGAGTTACAAATAGGATAAACAAATACAGAAATACATAGGGGATACACAGATATATATAGAGTTACACAGGAGATTCACAAAAACAGAGTTACAAAGAGAATACACAAATATAGAGTTAAATAGAGGATACACAAATACAATTTTACATAGAGAATACACAAATGCAAAGTTACAAAGAGGATACACAAATGCAAAGTTACAAAGTTACATAGGGAATTCACAAATACAGAGTTACAGGAGAATACACAAATACAGAATTACATAGAGAATACACAAATACAGAGTTACATAGAGGATACACAAATACAGAGTTACAAAGAGGATACACTAATACAGAGTTACATAGAGAATACACAAATATAGAGTTACATAGGGAATACACAAATACAGAGTCACATAGAGGATACACAAATACAGAGTTACATAGAGGATACACAAATAAATAGTTACATAGAGGATACATAAATATAGAGTTACATAGAGGATACACAAATACATAGTTACATGGAGGATGTACAAATACAGAGTTACATAGGGGATACTCAAATACAGAGTTACATAGAGGATACACAAATACAGAGTTACATAGAGGATAAACAAATATAGAGTTACATAGGGAATACACAAATACAGAGTTACATAGAGGATGTACATAGTTACATAGGGGATACATAAATACAAAGTTACATATGTAAAACGTCGAAAGAACATGTTTTGAAAATTTTCATAAAAGTATTGGAACACTTGTAAAATCCATGCTGTAAATCTAAGGTTTAAATGATAAACTTCTTGTTTTATTGTTTTTTCTATGTTTAGATGATAATCCGTTGTTTAGGTGATGAATATCAATATCAATATCAATATCAATATCAATATCATGATTCAGGTAATTAACTCCAAGGTTTGAATAAAAACTCCATGGTTTAGATGAAACTTAATGGTTCCGATGATAAACTCTATGGTTTAGGCGTAAAACTACTTCCAAACGAGTTCTGGAAATACGTATGCAAGACATACACCAAGACACTAAAAAAATGGATATTGAACCATGAAGTTTATCATTTAAACCTTAGAGTTCATTATGTAAACCATGGCTTAATCATATTAACCATCGTATATCACCTGAGCTATGGGTTTTAATGAGCAAAAACCTTGAAGTTTATCTCCTGAACCATTGAGTTTTTCATTAAAACCTTTAGGCCTTTAGGTTTATCCCCTGAAACATAGAGTTTTTTATTTAAACCTTTAGGTTTATCCCTGAAACATAGAGTTTTTCATTTAAACCTTTAGGTTTATCCCCTGAAACATAGAGTTTTTCATTTAAACCTTTAGGTTTATCCCCTGAAACACAGAGTTCTTCATTTGAACCTTGGAGTTAATCCCGTAAACATTGAAGTTTATCCCTGAAACATAGAGTTTTTCATTTGAACCTTAGAGTTTTGCAAATGAACCATTGAGTTTTATATTTAAACCATACATGTTTTTCAATCAACCCATGGATTATATACCTGAACCATGGATTATATACCTGAACCATGGATTATATACCTGAACCATGGATTATATATCTGAACCATGAATTATATACCTGAACCATGGATTTTAAAGGTGTTTCAGTACTTTAAAAAAACAAACATAAACAATAAAATACTGATAATAACATTCTTTCTAGAATACGGGTTAAAAATATTCAACAAGTAGTCAATTAAAGTCATTATGACTTAAACACACCTCTTTCTCTGTTCCACGCGAGCAGTGAGTTAGGGTCTGTATTATTTTTTTTAACTGTTGAGAAAATTCTCGACAACCTCAGTCTGTGATTGAAAACGTTGTATGTTGTGCAAAAAAAGATAACGCGTAGAGAAGTCTTAAGATAATATCAAACCAAGAAACCTTTTTACAAAGGAATTTAACCTAAAATAATATTTATGAAAGAAGATGGTAGATTAATTTAAACGTATTTATGCACGAAATACTGAGTACTTAATTTGTATGGGTATCAATCAATTAAAGAATCAATTTACAAAAAAAATATGCTGTTTTGGAACGATTTGCAATGATGAAATTAATATTAACCTCTATTTAAGAGCTTAATTTTGTTCAAGACTGTAAAATCTTTTGTTAAAATAAGAAAAATCAGGTTTGCAAGATAAATGATGTGCTCGTAGAAACCAAGTGAAAACAGAAACTTCTCCGGAATATATTTTGGGATACTCAGGGTGGGATATAGAACTAGGGAGAGGGGGATATGGTTTATATCTCGAGATACCCAAGGAGATAAAGAACTAGGGTGAGAGGATAGGGTTTATATCTCGAGATACCCAAGGTGGGATATAGAATTAAGAAGAGAGGGGGAAATGATTTATATCTCCAGATATCCAAGGAGATAAAGAACTAGGGTGAGAGGATAGGGTTTATATCTCGAGATACCCAAGGTGGGATATAGAACTAGGGAGAGGGGGATATGGTTTATATCTCGAGATACCCAGGAGATAAAGAACTAGGGTGAGAGGATAGGGTTTATATCTCGAGATACCCGAGGTGGGATAAAGAACTAGGGAGAGGGGTATATGGTTGATATCTCGAGATACCCAAGGAGATAAAGAACTAGGGTGAGAGGATAGGGTTTATTTCTCCAGATACCCACGGAGATAAAGAACTAGGGAGAGGGGGATATGGTTTATATCTCGAGATACCCGAGGTGGGATATAGAACTAGGGAGAGAGGGATATGGTTTATATCTCGAGATACCCGAGGAGATAAAGAACTAGGGTGAGAGGATAGGGTTTATATCTCCAGATACCCACGGTGAGATATAGAACTAGGGTGAGAGGATATGGTTTATATCTCGAGATACCCGAGGTGGAATAAAGAAATAGGGAGAGGGGGATATGGTTTATATCTCGAGATACCCGAGGTGGGATATAGAACTNCCCCCCCTCCCTCGGAAAAATTCTTGTTGCGCCCCTGAGCACATTGTTTTGGAAGATCTCACAATTAATAAGTTTGAGATATAAATTTTTTTGAAAGAAGTTTGAGAAACTTTGTTTTGTTTCTAAACTATAAAGTTTTGTTTATGTTAGTTTAAGAAATTGCGTAGTAGAGTAGGATTAGTTTTCTTCTAAATAGTTCTTTTTCAAGCTAATTTTCCATTCAATTAATTGGATTCAAACATTGCCGTTTTATGCCGACAGGGTTTATGATTACTAAGAGTGTATCAATACCTACCTATAGGAGTACTAAGAGTGTATCTATACCTACCTATAGGAGTACTAAGAGTGTATCTATACCTACCAATTGGAGTACGAAAAGTGTAGCTACACCTACCTATTGGACTACTAAGAGTGTATCTATACCTACCTATTGGACTTCTAAGAGTGTAGCTATACCTACCTATTGGAGTACTAAGAGTGTATACCTATACCTATCTATTAGAGTACTAAGAGTGTACCTATACCGTAGTAAACACCTACTTTATAACAAGTTATCTAACGTATCTATCCAGCTGCACAACCCGTCTACATTCAGTCAACCAGGACACAACCCACCTGGCTCTAAATGACACAAAGGTACACAAGCGTAGCTATCCAACAAGCTTGTGTCCTTGCGTGGCTCTAATGCCACACAGAGACACTAGCGTAACTATTCAACAAGCTATAAATCCAGGCTCTAAATGCCACACAGGGGCACAAGAGTAGCTATCCAACAAGCTATTACTCCAGTACTCTAATGCTACACAGGGACACAAGCCAGCTATCCAACAAGCTATATATCGTTCCCATATGATGGGACAATCCACTCTGAATGCCGCTCAGGGACACAAGCCTAGCTATTAAACAAGCTTATATATGGATCCCAAATGATGGAGATGATCCGACCTGCTAATCAAAACAGGGTTTCAGGTTTAATCTCTTGCAGTAAACAGTACAGAGTTACTCTATAAACAAAACTATAATTAATATCTTATGTCACAAGTCAACATAATTACAATTACCTACGTCGTTATCTATTTCACATGATTAAGACAATCATATTTCGTATTTACCGCACAGTTAAAGTTTATTGTACATATTTATAAGATTAGTGAGAATAGATATAACGGAGTCAAGCTATCTCCACACATGTTTATAGCGTAATTTAAGTATGTCCCATGATTTAATCTAATCATGCTATGTATTCAATTTACACGATATTTGCTACATACCTACCTATTGGAGTACTAAGAGTGTATCTATTTATTTCTGTAAACCCTAAGAGGGTTGTATGAAAGCAACAGGATTTTAATAATTACAAGAAAGGGAGATTGTTAAATCTAATCGGATGGAATGTATGTTTGCCATTCTTGGTAGTTTACATTCAAATCATTTTACTATTGTTAACCAATCTGAACATTTCCTTCTTGAATCATTATTTTCTAAACTGGAGTCTCCTAATCTAATCTAATCTAATCTAATCTAATCTAATCTCTTCTAATCTCTTCTAATCTCTTCTAATCTAATCTAATCTAACAGAACCAGAGGTACCATAGGCTAAAAAAATCGGAAAATTATGTCAAGTGTATATCCCAGAGGACTATTGCCGCGTCACAATAATATACTACCAAAGTGCGGGTAAACGGCGTGAGCAATTATGATTATGAATAATGGTTTACCTGACCAACCCCCGGGTTCTTGGTAGTAATTAATATTTTCTTAACAGAAGTCTCCAACGTAATTAGTTTTCCTTCTATTGCAGTTGATGAATTGATTTCTTTATTGGCAGGAGTTTGCCACGAACCAGCCAAATATCTCATATTTCGGGGAGTTTAAGATTAATAATCTTTAATATAGGATTGCAAGCAAATCCTTTTATTCAACCCACTCCCTAGTCCCTGCATATTCATAGTTCTGCTCAAAATACATTTTTAATTCTAATTATTGAATTATGCATTATGAATAACTAGCTGAATTGCGCAGGTTTCATATTAATCCCGGCATTTACCAGCGCTTGGTCTTGAATCATGGTGTTCGCATTGCCCGGGGTTGCACAGAAATTTTATTAGATCCATATTTTTAGCCTTTGTCACTCCTAGGGAACAACAAGTTTTCTAAAAAAATCTGCCAATTTGGTTCAGCCATTTGGCCAGCTATAGCGAACATAAATTGAGCGAAGAGCTTGATTACGAAAGATGGGGAATGAATTTAAGGGAACTAAGTACTCGCCTTATACTTTAGTTTATTACCTACAGGGTGTCCCACTAAACATGACAGTTGGTAAATAGTTTTGAATGTCGTCTTCCATACACGTATTATATATTAAAGGCTGTTTGCAGTTTAATTAGTTTAAAAAATCTTTTTTACTTTGAAATTAATTTTACTATAATATGACTCCTACATAATATTTTTTTTATTGTCTTTGGTATTAAACAACTTAACAAGTTATGGAAAAAGACATTTTAAACTATATACCAACTGGCATGTTTCGTGGGACACTCTGTATGCATTTGCAACTAGAGCTAAAAACTTTAGAATGAGATATCCTTAAACACGATCGCTTAATCTGATTATCCAATGTACACACTTTTGCTTTTCATTTCTTCTTATAATCCTCTTTTTGGATATTTCTACAGTATAAAAGTTACGCTTGATAACAATTACAGATAGAATGCTATATATCGATTGGACTTATATCCGATTGAATTATGGTCAGCTGTATACAAGCCGACTTTTAGAACATTTAAACAAATATAAATTTAATCATGTAAATATGAAATGATTAAGAACCATATTTTAGGACTATTTTCATTTTGAGCGTTAGTCATTAATCATTAATCTAAAACTTACGTTTGTTCAATTGATATGACACCATCAACATTAGAAATCAAAACCGGGTTTTCAAAAGTTAAAGAGTTAGAGTACATCTTAAAATGACACACTGATTGGTTAAATTTTCAACTTCTTTCTTGGATATCGAATGTTTTTTAAGACAATATTGGGTTTAGTAAACCTGCAGGAGTTTAAGCATTAATCTTGATATCGACCATTCTAAAGTTTTAAGCTCTGAGGACGTAAACCTATGATATTTGCAACTTTGGCTTTTTGATCTGCTGGCATGAGTTAATATTTAGAAATATTTAAGTTTTATAACATCAGGTGGCAAAGATATTTAATTAGAAAATTTGAGCTCGATGGGGACTGTAGGGGTGAACACAGGATTTAAGTGAGGGGGGGGGGCAAGATTTTTTAAGGAACAAAACAATTCATAATTAGGAACAAAAAATTGCGCTGCAGGCGAAAATTTTTTTTTTACTTAAAAGACTCAAAAAGAGTCAAAATTAATGACTAAAGACTAAAAAACTAGATTTTTAACTTTTCACACATTACACAGTTGTGAGCTGAACAAAAGGAAAAGTTACTCGAAGCGGGATGTACTTAAGCAAAGGATAGGTAACTCGATGAATGACAAATCCAAAGGCAATTAGGTTAGGGAAACACTCTCTTCTACCAGACACACATAGATGAGAACTTCTTGAAAATGTTTATTCAGTAACGAAGTTTCCTACAAAATACAGATTGTTATTGACGAACAAATGTGAATAATAATTGTTAATAAAATGTAACTATTTGATTGACGAACAAATGTGAATAATAATTGTTAATAAATGTAACTATTTTATTACAACTAATTAAATGTTTATTGAAACTGATAAATAGGAATTTTAAAGGAAAGGTTCTGTTGTGAATCGACCAAGAAATATTTTAAGGTACCGATGGGAATTAATGAATGAAATATTTTTAATGGGTACCATTGTGAATCAAACATGAACTTACGATCTAGAAAACTGTGGTACGGCGAAAAGTTGTTTGTACTGAAGTCTAATTCTTCTGAAATGAATATTTATCTGGTTAAATAAGTTCACTGTTTATATGTAAATGATTCACTGAAAATTGTGTTTAAATAGGTTATTTTTAATGCACTTTAAGTTTTACTAGCTCCATGAGGTTATTTATGTAAAATCCTTGGCAAGGTTTGGTTTGGCGGATGGCCGGAGTACGGAGTATTCAACGGAGATACAATCTGTCGGAGACGACCTTTGAAACAGGGTTACATTAGGGATATGGTTCACAACAGTTTATTAAGACAGATATTTTTCCTGTTTTGCACTAGGGTTTCTTTCCCTTAAGCATGCTATTGAGAATCTATTCTGAAAATAGGAACAAAAAATTCCAAATTCAGGGGGAGGGGTACGCCCCTCCCTGAATCTCTCAGGGGGTGGCGAATGTCCCCCCGCTCCCCCCTGTATCCGCCCCTGATGGGGAGTATTTAGTTCCTTGGCCTTATCTATTTTTACTTTTACTGTTGTTCCCTAGTAAAGTGAAATAATGATGGTGCAAAAAGGGTCGAGTGAATCACTGAATAGTGACTGCTAAACATGTAATTGTAAATTCTAAGATTAAAGCATTAAATCAAATCCGTTTACAAATCTAAATTGAATTTAGATCTTTTCTACTTGGAAATGAAAGTGCACATTAAAGTCTTTTTAAAGGGTTCAGATGACAAATTTATAAAAGAGAGAAGAGAATCAAATTAAGCTCAAAATAAGTTTATTAAATGCAGAATTACAAACACAAATTCAAATTCAAATTCAAATTTTCTAATCCTTATATCTTTGCAACCTGGTAATGAAGACCTTAGCTATTTCAAACTAAAATTCCGTTAGATAAGTATACTTTTTTTATTCTATAGAAGAAAGAAGCGGATTTGTTTTGATTAATACGAAATAAATTTATTATCGATGTGGAAAAAATCAAATAAAAACTCAATCCTAATTTCTAATTCGTATATCTTTGCAACCTATTGTGGAGGACCTTAGATATTTAGAATATGAATTCTGTGTGATCAAATAATTTAAGTTTGGAATATCAAATTTGCATGTTGAAAAGACATCGGGATTAGAACATTTTATTTTGTGTCAAAGACTCAATTCTTTTCAGTTATGAATTGAATTATTGCTAGAGAAATAATATCACTTATCGCTCTTATAGCACAGAAAGTTATAGTTTCACGGTTACTCACTATAGGAATAAATCTTTTTAAATCATGGCATATTGTTTCTTTAGATAAAATTCATGAATTATAATTGTAGGTTTAGATTAACAGCTTTCTTGAGACATTTTGATCGAAACACAAAGAGGGATTAAAAATTATATGAAATATAATTTCTGGATCGACTTTGTGGAATCACAACTCCACTAGTTCTCACATTTAATAGTGAAATAATCAAACTTGTTTGATTTGATTATAAACTTTAAAAAGTCTTCAGAGGCAGAATTTAAAGAATTTGAGCTGCGGCTTAAATTTGAGACGCGCCTTATAAATGGTTGTTTCCACTTAAAGTTGTATTCAATGTTTCCAGATTTAAGCCAGCGCTCAATTGAACCCGGTTTTTAACGGATTTGAGACACGGCTCAAATTCATTAAATTTGGACACTGAACTCTTAAAGGGACTGTGAGCGTAATTTCAAGTGACCCTCAATGCAATGAGCACCGTTATTTAAAGGTTGCAAACTTTCAAGCAAAATCGATGAGAATTTTGCCAATTACTTCTTAAAAACCAAAGCTAAAAACAAGTGCTTTATAGTGCTAAAATGTTCATATAAAGTAAAGGGCTATAGAAAAGCAAAATTGACTTAGAGCAGTAAAATCAAAGCCAAAGGTGTTGCGACACTTCAAATTCAACCCAGTATTAAAAATTGATGACACTTTTTATTAGCAGGCTGAATCTATGTGTGTTCATGCAATTCACAACAATTTCAGCAATATAAATTCTTTGTATGAATTAGATATGCTTTTTAACTGTTTATGTTTATTTGTGTTTTTTTCTTCAAAACTGACATTTGAATCAGAAAACGATTCTATCTTCCACATTTCTGACCATATCAAGGTTTTAAGGATACCGTTGTTAATCAGGCATTGCCATCTGTGTACTGAGGGTTACTTGAAATTACGCTCACTGTCCCTTTTAAGAGATTGATATGTATTTTCAATCTAAAAATTCACGGTCCACACGAAAAAAAAGCTATGTGCGTTCTATCCAGTGTCCGAATTTAATGAATTTAAGCCGAATCTCAAATCACCCACAAACTTGAAAAACTGGATACAATTTTAAGTAGAACCAATCATATTTGAGCCACGGTTTAAATTCAAGCCGCCGCTCAAATTCTTTAAATTCGGCCTCAGGGAGGAATAAATTTAGTAGGGCTTTCCTCTGTCTTTTAAATTCCGCACTGAACTAGACAGCTAGAATAAGGTCAGATATATATTCGATTAGATATTTGAAATTCTACTCATTTTTCTTCTTCAATAAATGTAGTTTTGATTAAAAACAAAAAAGATTTCAATTTACTTTAGCTTAGGCCGTCTGTAAAATTAGATCGATAATATTTTCTGTATCTTCCAAATTTCTGTTTCTGTCATTTCTGTTGTTATCCAAACATGTTTTTAAAGAAACATACTTTTATTTCAACATGAAAATATTTTTCAGAAATTTATTCGTATCCTGTATGTAATATAAACTTGTTTTCTTGTGTGTACGTGATTATTTCTCAGTAATCTTATCGGTTTCTGGACAACAGGTGAAGAAATACAGAATTGTGAATGAACAGAATGTTAAACCAGAGTGAAGGTAGGGGGGGGGGGGGATAATCGTTTTTTGATAAAATATGATAACAACATAGTTTATATTTAGGGTGGGTCTTTTTTATATAGGCGTAATAGGTTGTATTTAATCTAGCTTTATTAAACATTTTTTATATAGGCGTAATAGGTTGTATTTAATCTAGCTTTATTAAACATTTTTCTAATGCTTTCTTTTCCTGAATATTAAAAATTTTCATTAAATTATAAACTAATATTTTATAAAGACATGTGAATTCTATAAACTACTTTTTAGAAACATAACTATAAAATTCTGTTTCTTACTTACTTACTTACTTACTCCTTTACTTACTTTCTTAATTGCTTATCTAGTTACTTTTTCCAACTATTGAATCTTTTACTGTAGAATAAAAATACTGTTTTCTAAAAAAAATTACAATCTATTTTGTGCGAAAAATTTAATAAAACTAATATTTTGTTCAATTTATTATCAAAGACCGAAATATTCAAATAAAGTTTTCAATAATGTTTGTTTAATGAATTCAATATTGTATTGGGAAAACAATATGAAAATAATGAATAGGACTAAAAAAGCATTTAGGTAAGTGAGCTGTTAGGTGGGAGTAATATTATATAAGTGAGCCTTTAGGGGGGAGTAATATAAGTGATCCTTTATGTGGGGGTAATATAAGTGAGCCTTTAGGTGGGAGTAATATTATGTAAGTGAGCCTTTAGGTGGGAGTAATATAAGTGATCCTTTATGTGGGGGTAATTTAAGTGAGCCTTTAGGGGGGAGTAATATAAGTGAGCCTTTAGGTGGGGGTACAGTAAGTTAGCTGTTAGGTGGGAGTAATATAAGTGAGCCTTCAGGTGGGAGTAATGTAAGTGAGCCTTTAGGTGGGAATATTATAAGTGAAACTTTATGTGGGAGTAAAATAAGTGAGCCTTTAGGTTGGAGTAATAAAAGGAGCCTTTAGGTGGGAGTAATATAAGTTAGTGATTAGGTGGGAGTAAAAAAAGAGAGATTAGGTGGGAGTAAAAAAGAGAGATTAGTTGGGGGTAAAATAATTAAGCTATTAGGTTGAAGTGGAAAAATGAGGTATGTGGAGAACTGTTGGGAGTAAGATAAATGTATGGAAGGAGGAAGTAGAGATTAAGTTTAACATCGGGTATAAGTAGCATGTTGGAGAAAGGGTTGGGAATGGAAAATGTGGAACAATGATCAAGATTAATCCTCAGCCCATTGCTCCAGGAACCTAATCATCAGCCCGTTGCTCCAGGTAGTCCCGAACCTCCTTGAGAAGTTCCATCCGTACACTGTCCGGAACTGTAGGACAAGGAAATCATCTTGTCAGACTAGACGACGAACTTTGCGTAGTAAAGGGACGAAGTGGACGAAATAAAATGACAGAAGGACTTACAGGGACTCAATAGATGAGAAGGACTATTCAGATTAGACAGAATAGACGGATTTAAATAAGAACCAATTCTAACTAACAAGTTGTTCAAGATGATTTTTATACCTAGCTGACTTCCCTTAGGTCCCATCTCCTAAAAATGGGTGAAAATATTAAATAAATACAATTTTAAATATTTTTCTATTTTGACTTTACATTGCATTAAAAGTTTTTAAAAGTTAAATTAATTTTCAAATCCTGGTTCCTGACTGATGAGTAAAAACTGTTAGAATAATTAATTTCAGTTTTTAGTTAAATAATAAAGATTCTTTGCGTTTTTCCTAGTCAGACATCCTGGGATAAAAGTATTTTCTGATAATTATTCACTTAACTCTAGCTTATTTTTATATACTATTATATAATCGAAAAGTCCCTGTATATTAAAAGCCACTTTGATTTTGATCCATTGGTAACTGATCAGGAATTCCTAATTAATTTAGTCCATAACTAATTATTCGAGAGTCCCATATGAAAAAGAATTCCATGACTGCCTGATTTAGTCAAAATGAATACCTGATTTCGTCTATTACTACCTGATTAAGTCTATGACTACCTGATTAAGTCTATGATAACTGATTAAGTCCATGACTACCTGATTCAGTCTATGACTACCTGATCAAGCCTATGACTATTTGATTAGGTCCATAATTACCTAATTAAGTCTAAAACTACCTGATTCGGTCTATAACTTGCATAAAAAAGATTTAGCTAATTTAGTCAGTGATTATCTCATCAAAAATTCCTATTTAGTTTATTCCATGAAAACCTGATTAAAAAGTCTTAATCATTTTGGTCTGTGAATCAAGATCAAGAAGTTCCAATTAGTTTTTTTCATTCCTACCTGACAAAGAAGTTCCAATTATTTCAGTCCATTACTACCTGATCAAGAAGTCCCAATTATTTCAGTTCATTCCCACCGGATCAAGAAGTCCCAATTATTTCAGTCCATTACTACCTGATCAAGAAGTCCCAATTATTTCAGTTCATTCCCACCGGATCAAGAAGTCCCAATTATTTCAGTCCATTACTACCTGATCAAGAAGTCCCAATTATTTCAGTTCATTACTACCTGAACTAAATCTTCTACAGATATCTTATCGAGTCCCTTCTCCTTTACTACATCCCTACAGACCAGTTTAACCTATAATATACAACTCTTTACTCTACTATAACTTTATAAATTTACAGGGTGTCCCAATAAACATGGAAATTAATCAACGACGCAGGTTCAAGGTTGCAGTGTTCCCCGACACGCCTACTCAAACTAGGATATCTAGTATTTATGTTAACCTGGACTAGATAAAGGTATACAAGGTACCATTGTAAATCGAGCGTCACTTAAAAGTATGTCACAATATCCCTTTAAAAACTCAAGCATATTCAAATCGGTTAGTAAAGAGCTGCGTTTTCAAGATGGTTTCTAGATATAAATATAAATAGATAAAAATATTAATAATTTGTCGACAATATGTGTCAACTTAATGACTTATTCTTGGAAACTATTTATCCTATTTACGACGGAAATAAATAAATATATATATACGTAAATTGGTTTCTTCTATCTAGAATCATCTCTGTCTGGAATCTATTTCATATTCTTGGAAAAAAATGTGTAAACATCAATAGAATTTACGCAGTAATACTTGAGTAATACCAAGGTACTAGTGCAAGGAAAGTTATTTCAGAGGTGTACGCATTTTTTGTACTGCAGTGTACTGACTTTGGGCGGAAAAGTAAACACAAGAAGGATGTCACAGCCTGACATGGAATCAATTTTCAAAACTGGTCATAGGAAACTATTATATGAATTTTCAAAATTAAATGCTTTTATCCTCCTCGGATATCAGACGAACACTGATGCATCTATTCTTGTTTACAAATTACACCCAAAGAGAACAGGTTTTAATATGTACGCAGAGTATACGCGACCGCAATTAACTTTCCTTGCATTAGTACCGTGAGTAATAAATACAAACATCCCGATAACGTATATAGAAACATTGGATTGGAGAAACCATAATATATTCTTGCTCAGAAAAAGGTTTGAATATGGAACGTTGTGAATCGGACATGCTCCTAGTCTACACTCTACAGTCTACAGCCACTCTGACTTTTGCTTTTGTTTTATATAATTTTGTCTTTGGTATTTTTCATTATTGTTGTAACGACAAAAAAAATTTTGAAGTTAAAATATAACATTTTAATTTTTAACTATCAAATCAAACCTGATCTTTCCATCCAATCTCTTCCAATTTCTTCACAAGTTTTTCTCTGAATAAAAAATAGCATTTTAGCTGTTGAAGGTTAGGCCATCCATGGACCATGATAAAACGTTAATTTCTGACATTTCTGCAGATAAATTTCTTTTGATTATCAAAAAAGTTAAGAAATGTAGAAATCTTTAATCGGTTTTCTGAAATGAAGAATGTTTTTATATTTAACCGCTTTTTCACTCCTTGAGTCCCCTTTGCCTAACCATGCAGCGGGATCCACTCTGCATAAATTAAATATAGTTTTGAATTTGTGATTAGCTGTGGGTTGCCTCGAACGATTTACCTAGAAAACATCCCTCGCTACGCTCTGGATGTTTTCTAGGTAAAATTCTCTATAATGTTATCTGCGCATTTCTACTGCAAGAAAACCTATAGAAACTATCAGAACTAATTACTTTTAAATTTATAAAAACGACAATATTTTTCACGTTATTGATCAGATAAAGGTTTCAATAGTACAGAAAAGATTATTTTGCAGTCCTTTGCCCTTCATGACCACTCCCAGGATCAAAAGACTAATTAAAAAACAACAAAATAATGTTTTACCTATCTTGCTGTAATGGAATAGAGGAATTTTACCTCAGTTCTTCTTTTTTCCCCGACTCTGACAGAATCTGATTAATATTTTGTTCCGCCTCGTCAATATCCTTCTCACGGTTCCGCCTGTGCCGCCCCATTTTATATCTTTTTAACAAAACAGTTGACTCATTTTAGAGAAAACAGTTGAACCAATTTAGATAAAACAGCTGATTTTTTTTAGATAAAACAGTTGAACCAATTTAGATAAAACAGCTGATTTATTTTAGATTAAACAGGTGGGCCAATTTAGATAAAACAGCTGATTTATTTTAGATAATACACTTGAACCAATTTAGATAAAACAGCTGATTTATTGATTAAACAGGTGAGTCAATTTAGATAAAACAGATGATTTATTTTAGATAAAAGAGCTGATTTAAATTAGATAAAACAGTTGAACCAAGTTAGATAAAATCATAAAACAGCTAATTTATTATAAAAAAGGTGATTCTGGATTCAGCTTACGCTTATTTTAAGTCAAAGCAAATGAATCAAATCAGACAAAGATGCTGATTCAATTTAGAATAAATTCTTTTTAGACAAAATAGCTAAATTGTTTTAGACAAAACAGTTGACTTGTTTCAGAGAAATATTGCTGACTTGTTTTAGACTAAATAGCCGACTTTTTTAGACAAAATAGCTGACTTGTTTAAGACTAAATAGCTGACTTTTTTAGACAAAATAGCTGACTTGTTTAAGACTAAATAGCCGACTTTTATAGACAGAATAGCTGAATTGTTTTAGACTATATAGCTGACTTTTTTAGACTAAATAGCCGACTTTTATAGACAGAATAGCTGAATTGTTTCAGACTAAATAGTTGACTTGTTTTAGACTAAATAGCCGGCTTTTATAGACAGAATAGCTGAATTGTTTCAGACTAAATAGCTGACTTGTTTTAGACTAAATAGCCGACTTGTTTTAGACTAAATAGCTGACTTGTTTTAGACTAAATAGCTGACTTTTTTAGACTAAATAGCTGACTTTTTTAGACAAAATAGCTGACTTGCTATATACCAAACAGCAGAATTAAATCAGTCAAGGCAGTTGATTTATTGTAGAATAAAACGGCTGACTTATTTTTGAGAAAACAGCTTGACTTAATTTAGATAAAAAGCTTTATTAAAATAAAGAAAACCTCCGACAAGCGACCGTAGCTGAAAGAATTTGCGTAAAACAGAAAGATTTTAAAATAGATTTTAATAACTGATTTTTAATGATAGAAGTTCATTATTTGTGACATGTTTTGTCCATGTTATTTAAGAATTGTAAAAAACGTAAAAAAGTCCGCGTCTGTGAAAAACAAAATCTGAGATAAAAATGTAGAAACATGTATCACACTTTGATATTTGTTTAAACAAAAAAATATTTTTTCATTTTTTTACCCTTTTTAGGTTTTTTAACCCAAACTATTAAAATTATCGGTCTAATTTTTTTTCTATGAGCTGGTCTTGAAAAATTGGGCTATGAACATGCATTTTTCTAAGATATTTGCAAACCCTAATCGGCACTGGTGTAAACACGACGACATTTAATCTATGCTGCTAGATTTTGTATGTTAAGATGCTAAAATGTCCGACCTACTGTTGTTTGAGCTATTGAATATTTCGACAGTTGTTTATTTTTCTAAGCTGTTTGCTTCCAAATGGAGTAATTAGAATAAAGATTACAGCACAAGGACTAGCAACATTATACAGGAGAGCATTTGAATTACTTTATTTGCATACAATTATGACATTAAAAAATTAAAATGCAAATAGTAAAATATTATATTCTTGAAATAAAACAAAAAAAAACTAGAAAGCAAAACTTATCAAAACATGTCAATATGAACAAAAGTGAAAATATTGATAGTTCCGATGACGTTAGTTCAAATGACTAACCACCAAAATAAATAACTTGTGAATATATCTAAAGTGCAAATTTTCAGCAAGGAGCAATTATGAAAAATATAAATAAGAGTTCACTTGTATATTGTTTACAGTTACACATCGTCTAAATTATAGTTTATTATTTTTAGGTTAAATGAATGCATACTGCAATTTAAAAGATTGGATATGTCGTCCTCGATAAACCAGTGCCAATTTCAGGGGTTTGCATTACTCTTGCAGGAGGGGGGGCGCCAAACGCCCCCCCCCCCAGGCTATACATAGATTCAGACCCCCCCAGCCTTTAAAGGGTCACATAATCCAGACTGGACAAACACCATGGATCGAATATATTTAGAAGACGACATTCTATAAGTCCATTGAAGCCAAGAGGATACATATTTGTACAATTAAGATACGTTAGTACACCTTGCAGTACAAATTTGTGTCATTTTATAACGTAAATGTTTCCCCAACTCGCATAGTTTAACTGTAATGCTTAACCCACCTTGCAGGAATAATTTTAAAAACATTTTAAATGTTGTCTTCATATTTCTGATATTCTCTCAGCCTAGTGTTTGTTCTGTCTGGAAGATGTGGGGTTAATTGTAAGTGGATACTCGGAATTAAAATCTGAGATCCGAGGTACGCTGAAAACCGGGGGTATTTATTTTGCGTGGAAATACCCTGATCATAATTGTCGATCAATTAAGGTTACAACCATAGAGAATAGAATATATTAGAGGGGAATTTAAAGAATCACTCGGTATGAAATTTTTCAGTGCCTTTCAGCCTGAAAGGGAGTTCAAAGTGTACAAATCATGTAAATGTTCACAAATTATATGCAGTATAATTTGGTTTTCTTTTAACATTAATTTTAGATTTTCTATAAAATGATATTCCAGGGCCCAAGAGGTTATATAGCATAAATATGTGAAGTACACCTGCAGTATGTAAACAGTACAACAAAATGTCCGTTTTACACTTTTTTCTAGTAAATTCCCCTCTAATATATACTCTATTCTCTTAGGTTACAACCCTTGTGTTTAGGGTACAAGGTGTGTAGATACCGATTTTTTCCAGTTTTACTTTCTTTGAGACGAACCTTGAAGTTAGGTGGGTTGTTTTCACAGTATTATTATTTTTTGAAAAAAAATTTACTTAGTTATAAAACAATATAAAAATTAGGTTTTAGGTTAAGTATAAAATATTGAAACAATAAAATAAGAATAATGTTGATGTGTGTATACGACGTCATAGATTTCCTCTTAAAAAAGGAAAACGTCATACTTAATACCATATCCCTGTATTCTTCAAATCGAGGGATCTTTAATATGTGTTCTGTGGAGATTTTGAGAAAACAAAATTAACAAAAACAATATCAATTTTTGGATTTAAAATCATCAAACAACGCAATAGAACTAAATGTTTGCCACAAATTAGGTTCTTTATCCCTTTTTTCCAATTATAAATTTTGTTAGATCAAATAGTTTAAGGTTGAAATATCAAAGGTTTACACCATCAGATTCCAAAGATTTAGCAATTGGAAAACTCCATCCTTTTTAATATTCTCACTACTTTAAAAATTGAAATATAACAACAAGTAAATTTTAGTTCTATTACTTCCATGTTTATTGAGATTTGAAACTTTCTGTCAAATCAAATACTAAATATTTGTTTTTGTTCATCATTATTTATTGTTCCAAGGAGGAATTTTGTACTACTTAAGAAAACCATAAAAAAAAACATTTATTATCCACAAAATTTTGTAAAGTGGTTTTAACGCCCTCATATTATTTTTTATTAATACTTAAGAATGTAAATATGTAGAGACTAGAGATATCGCAAAGTGTACACCCAAACGACACTATTGGTTTTAGTATACTGGTAGGCATGGGAAAATAGTAACACAGAAAGCACATTAATATGATTAATAATTTATTCAGTTTTCAACCTCGACTAATAATAAATTTTCACATTACATTTCTGTATTGAACATTAATGCACATTTTAAGAGATGTATCAGATATAATCAAATTGTTTTCTGCAAGAAAAATCCTTCTAGAAAGAGCAAGGAATTTTGGTTCCATTTTCCCAACATGTTATCCTCCTCAGGTTGTTTAAAACAGGAGCTTCACGTTTTACAACCACATGCTCAACAGGACCATTCTTTGCAATATGCTTTATTCCATGTACTCCAGTATTAATAGCTGTATACTGCTCTGGGTTGTTATAGCTAGTCAGGGTAGTGTGGGTTGCAGGAACAGAGTAGGCTAATGGAGCAGAATAGGCTACTGGAGCACCTACTCCGGAGTAACCATAGACTGGAGATGCAAACCTGGCATAGGTGGAGACAGGGATATTAGAGTAGGTTGCCATGGGGTTCACAGGTTCCTGGTTATTAATGTAGGCAGCAGGAGCACTGTTGTAAGGAGAATATAAACTGCTGTAGGAAACCACAGGAGCAGTGGAATAAAGGGGTTTTGATTGAACTACTGCTGCAGTAGCCAGAGTCAACACGATAAGCTAAACATTATAAATTGTATAGAATAAAGGGACTGTAAACGTAATTTTAAGTGAACCTCCATGCAAAGAGGGCAATGCCCAATTTATTTTGCTACCCTTAAATCTTAATGTGTTCGTCCATGGTAAACTTATCGGACCCCAATTGTATTCAGCTGCAAATTCCGGTGTGCGATGCGTATAGTCTAAACTCAACAGAGCGCGTACTTACAAACAACCCGGTTTCGATAAGTTTAAACGCAAATATCTCTGTACTGAACGAACACACAGTGGTTTTATGGGTATCGTTTTTAAATCGGCCATTTTAATGTAGGGTTACTTTAATCAAATCATAAAAATTAAGCATATAGTCAGTCCCTTTAAGCATTATGTTATATAATACTACAGTGAAACCAATTACACTATTGAATAGTAAGACGACATATAACATAGCGAACAGTTTTCCAGTTTCTTGAAAATGAACTTAGTGAGTGAAATGTGTCTGTGAATTATCTTATGCTAATTTAATAAATTGAATAATTAAAACTTTCTAAAAAACTATGGAAAACATTTTCTGAAAGATTATTTTAAAATAATTAACAAAAAGATATAACAAAAAATAAGAATCAGCGAAAAATTGCTATACACAATATTACATTAAAACATCAATATGGTCTTTGCTTACCGGTAGATTTAAATTAATATTTATTGAAATAAATAAAACTTATTTTATTAATAAATCCTACCATGTTCATGATGTGAAAAGCCTAGGTATCTAAGCAGTGAATCCTAGAAGAAGACTGGACAGGTTAGAAAGTGGATACTGCCTTGATCCAACCCTCTTTCAGTTAAATTGATGAAACAAGTTTATAAGAGAAATCTCTTTACGCTAAGGTGAACTCGTAAACTTTAAAGCATCTACCGGCTATTTATGTTTTAAATTATTAACCTTGTTTTAGACCGCGGTCTCAGTAGCCTATTCTAGGGGCCCGGGAGGGGGGAGGAAATCTCTGCCCTCCCCCCAGGGTGTTAAACAGTATTTGATGTCCCCATTTTAAAGGGGATGTTTTTTCCTCTCTATTTAAAAGTAAAACATTCCCGCTTTACAGTTCCCGGCGTTGCCCGTGAATTTTTTTTTATTTTGAAAAAATAAAATTTATTCTATGTTACCACCCGGGCACACCCATGGGTTCCATAAAAAATTTCAACCAAATTGGTCCAGCCGTTTTGACAGCTATGGCGAACATAAATACAAATATATATATTTATATATGAGCGAAGAGCTTTATTATATCCCTACTGACGGTTCACCAGCCCGAGATTTCCTTCTTGACATTTAATAAATTTTCAGAAATTTCCAAATATTTCATGCAAAATCCAATACATGTATAAAGAAAAACTGAAATTTGTATAATTTCAATGGTAATTCTGTGCGAAAATTTGTGCCCAGTTTTTTTTGAAAAACTTGGCAATCTGTTTTTTTAGAAAAACTTGGCAATCTGTTTTTTAAACTTGGCAATCTGTTTTTTTTAAACTTGGCAATCTGTTTTTTTTGAAAAACTTGGCAATCTGTTTTTTTTGAAAAACTTTGCAATCTGTTTTTTTTTCAAAGAGCCATACTACGTTGAAATCAACGAGGTTATAGTATATAGAGTGATGATTTACGCTGATCCTTTACTAATTGTATAGGCCATGAACTATATCGAGAGCGTACTGCATATTTGTTTATTATAAGGAGATTATGGCCTAACCTATAGTATATCAATATTAGTAAACAGTTGTAAGTGTACAGCACAGCTAGCTGAGCACACTATCATCCCCCCTTACTGAAATCTAATGACTGTAAGTGGGTCTAAATATAGATTTAGCTTGGTAAAAGCAGTTAGGCATGGTATGCCTGAGGACTCAGGCAGTATAAAATCCCAAGGTTAATGGTTGCCTTGGTTTGATATTATTATTTCATTGAGTGATAAGAGGAGTAGGTTGAGTGGCAAGTGAAGTAGGTTAAGGGATAAGAGGAGTAGGTTGAGGGGTAAGAGGAGTAGGTTGAGGAGTAAGAGGAGTAGGTTTAGGGGCCAGTGAAGTAGGTTGAAGGATAAGAGGAGTTGGTTGAGTGGTAAGTAAAGTAGGTTGAGGGATAAGCGGAGTAGGTTGAAGGATAAGAGGAGTAGGTTGAGGGATAAGAGGAATATGTTGAGGGATAAGAGGAGTAGGTTAAGGGATAAAGGAGTAGATTGAGGGATAAGAGGAGTAGGTTGAGGGATAAGAGGAGTAGGTTGAGGGATAAGAGTGGTAAGTCGAAGGATAAGAGGAGTAGGTTGAGGGATAAGAGGAGTAGGTTGAGGGATAAGAGGAGTAGGTTGAGGGATAAGAGGAGTAGGTTGAGGGATAAGAGGAGTAGGTTGAAGGATAAGAGGAGTAGGTTGAGGGATAAGAGGAGTAGGTTGAGGGATAAGGGGAGTACAGGTTGTTGGATAAGAGGGGTAAGTGGAGGGGTAAGAGGAGTAGGTTGATGGATTAGAGGAGTATCAACAGTATCTTTTGACCCCCCCCCCCCTTTTTCTAGAGGCTAACCTAAAACTTTACTGTTTTATTGTAACTGTTTTCGAGCAGATACTTTAAGGTGCTTTAACAAAAAATTTCGTAATTCAATGATACATCATGATAGTTTTACTTTTCATCAATCTGATAGATTTTAAGTTTTAACCAACGCCGTAAGTAATTGAATATTATTCTTAAGGGATTCTTAAGTTTATTATGATTTTAGCATTGAAACACATTATAGTTTTTAGTAACATTACAGCGACAACAAAACAAAAGTAGTTTTGTAAAATTTTGTGACATTTTTCAAAAATCATTTAACGCAAGAAAACTTGTATTCTTCTTGGAATTCTAATTCACAGACATTTCACTAGAAGGGGATTATTCATTTGACGTACTGTCCTGTTTTGCCTTGTATAATGTATTTGTACTGTACAGTTTGTTCTGTCTAGATGAATTTTGGCCCGGTACATGAAATAAACTGGAGTGTACATGGTGAATTGGCCTTTTTTTTTAAAAATGTTTTTTTATTACAAAATGAAAATGAAAATTTTAAACAGATATTCAATAGATGGGTATTTTTGAAACTATGTTGTTTTCCCGAATTGAAATTGAATTACAGAATATAAAAATATTGAAAATTGACCTGATTTAAAGCAAAAAAAAACATTTTTTAGCAAATAATTTTAGATAGAGTAAAAGGTTTTTTGACCTTAGCTTGCCCAATTTTTATAGTTTTGAATTTGAATGCTATTAAAAATTTGATCTTCACGTATTCAGTTATTTTATCTTTGAACCTAATTTAAGGGGACATTTTTGGTTAAAAATGCATTTTAAAAGTTATGCCTTAAAATTCCAAGTAGAATACAATGCTGCTTCTGTAAAATGATTTTAGAAAAAATGTCACAAATTTCACACCCCTAAATAATATAAATAATATTATTTGATGTTAAAGTGTTTTTTTTTCCCGAAAATAAGAGATCTTCGATCTTATTTACTGGCTAGCCTTTTATAAATCATTATTTCTCTTGCCTGAGCGAAAAATTTGAAAGAACAGTTCTAAGGGGGCAATATTTTTACATATTTTAAGAGTAATTTTCTATTTTTAGCACGTAAAATACTCATGCTCAATGCTAATTCCTGAACAAATTTTTCCTCGCACACCAGTTTCGCTCGGTGCTCCCTTCATCAAAGTTTAATTGTGAGTTTGACCCCCCCCCCCTGTTCAAAAAGCTGGATTTGCCCCTGCGACAGTTTATATAACTCCACCAATCCAGTGGCGGTGGAGGAAAGTCGGTCAATTTGAAATTTGTATTGCCATTGAGTGAACTCTCATTGGTCAAACAAATTACGGCTATCCAAAATGAGAGAAAAAAGAGTGGATTTAGGAGGAAATTATAAGTCTCCACATTTGATATTTAGATTAATCAATCAGGATTAAAGATATCCAATTCTAAAGTTTTAAACTCTGTTATTTCAACGCTTCAACATATATTCAGATGAAATTAATTTTTAACAAAGTCAAAATGGCAAACTTTAAACTGTTATAACTTCCTTAACTTTTCCTTTACTTATCTCTACTCTAACTATGTCCTTTCTCCTCGTCTTTATTCTAAACATCTCCACTCTCCTCGTCTCTATTCTAACCATCTCCTTTCTGCTCATCTCTATTCTAAACATCTTCTTTTTACTCATCTCTATTCTAACCATCTCCTTTCTATTCATCTCTATTCTTACCATCTCCACTCTCCTCATCTCTATTCTTACCATATCATCTCTCCTAATCTCTATTCTAAACATCTCCTCTCTCCTAATCTCTATTCTAACCATCTCATCTCTCCTAATCTCTATTCTCACCATCTCCTCTCTCATAATCTCTATTCTAACCATCTTCTCTCTCCTAATCTCTATTCTGACCATCTCCTCTCTCCTAACCTCTATTCTAACCATCTCCTCTCTTCTAATCTCTATTCGAACCATCTCCTCTCTCCTAATCTGTATTCTAACTTATTAATCTTATTTTCATTTTTCATTCTTCTAAACAATGTGACTCCAGTTCTGAATATAACAGCTTAACTTGAGCCTAATGATTTAGATTTTTAACATGTTTCATCTTCGTAATTTTGATTTAGATTATTCCTGGCTCCGTATTTAGACTTAATCCTCCGTAAAACCGTGCATCATGAAGACGAATTCTCTCGGACCGAACCTGACTCCGGGCAGAGTTTAACCTCCGGAGAGAGTTTAGACCTCTCCCCTGTCCTCAGTTCCCTAAACACGTCCTAAATATGAATACACGCATAACTTAAAATCACTTATTAAAATGTATTGGTAACTCAATTTTGATAAGTATGCAGATAGCAAGAAGTTTTTACAAATATAAAATTGAATAATTGATTTAGAGCAAGGATGGCATTTAACACGACATGCTTCAACTCTTTTCAAAACCAGCTGGATAATCAAACTATTAGCGATCATTTTCAGGTATAAAGTCATTTCAAGACGGTGTTTGAGTTAAAGAGATTAATTTTATTTTAAAGGATCACTACTATCACAACACAGGGGATATTTTCAATTTTCTTCAGAGAATTTCACATATATTTATGTAGAGTGAAGATAGTATAATATGTACGAGAAGTTCAATACCAAAATTTGCACAATATATTTGAGATATTTAAGACAAGCTGGCAATCAAGATCCACGTTATATTTGTATTTATATCCTGAAGAAAAATGATTTTATTGAAAAACATGTAATCTTCGACAACACATATTTGATAATATCATGTATATTTCTCTTTTAAATGTCAAAACGGCTGAACCAATCAGGTATAACACTATTGTATGACCTCATAAACAGAGACTCAGAAAACTCTGAAAAGATGCATCAATTTTCAAGGCCGGGTTGATTTTAAAGCGTTGCAAAGCCTTTGATTTTTACTTAAATTATTCCCGTATGATTTTGCAAAAAGTGATTGGCAAATGCAACCTTAGCCGGTGTAATGTAAATTACAGAAAATTGATTAAAGATACGTTATACAGGGTGTCCCAAAAAACATGGGAATTCAGTGACGAATTCGATATCGTCTTTGTTATGAATTAGCATTGTAATACCTAATTTCAAAAGCCATAATATTATTATGTCTGCTAGAGGTTATTTTATGAAAAGGGTAAAAGACTACAAAGATGTGTCTATAATGTCTCCGCAAGATGAATAGTGAATACGGACAAGTTTACTCTGTTTGTATACTGCAATTTTCTTGTTTTACTAAGTACAACCGTATGCAGTCAAAACATAAACAAACAAAATGTA